CCCTCCCTCCCTCCCTCTCTCTCTCCTCCCCGCAGGGTCTCAAGAACAACTGGGAGGAGATCAACAAGGACTTCCAGAGCCTGTCGGTGGAGATCACCACCATCCCGCAGCGGCTGCGCAAAGAGAAGCTGGAGACGGAGATGAAACAGCTGGAACACGACATTGCGGCTCTGGAGAAGCACAAGTTTATCTACATTGCGGGGGAATAGGACCGGGAAGGGGGGGAAATCTGGGCCGATGGGAGAGGAGGGGGGGATGCCTCGGGGTCCCCTCCCACGGCTGTTTCTTCCTCCAAAGTGGGACAGATCTCGGCTCGGGCGAACAGGACCCATTTGGTGGCTTCATCGCTTCCCCCCCGACGGATTTCCAGTTGCTGTGGTTGTGCGTTGGGCGGCTGCCCTCCCCTGCAGGACTCCAATCCCACCCTCCCCAGTCAGCCACAATCCTGGGGTGAGACCCTTCTCTCTCACCCCTCCACCCCACCCTAACCAGTTGGCCCACAGGGGACAAGAGTTAGTTTCTCCAAAGTTGCTGGCATTTTTTACGTTTTTAAGAGTTCTCCGAGCATTTTGCGATTGGACAAAAGTTGTATAACGGTTCTCGGTGCATTTTACAATTGGACAAAAGTTATATAACAGTTCTCGGTGCATTTTTCAATTTGACAAAAGTTGTGTAATGGTTCTCGGTGCATTTCGCAATTTGACGAAAGTTGTATAACAGTTCTTGGTCATTTTACAATTTGACAAAAGTTGTGTAACGGTTCTCGGTGCATTTCGCAATTTGACAAAAGTTTTTATAACAGTTCTCGGTGCATTTTACAATTTGACAAAAGTTGTGTAACGGTTCTCAGTGCATTTTACAATTTGACAAAAGTTGTATAACAGTTCTCGGTGCATTTTGCAATTTGCCAAAAGTTGTATAACGGTTCTCGGTGCATTTTTCAATTTGACAAAAGTTGTGTAACGGTTCTCCGAGCATTTTTCAATTTGACAAATGTTGTATAACGGTTCTCGGTGCATTTTGCAATTGGACAAAAGTTGTGTAACGGTTCGCGCATTTCACAATTTGACAAAAGTTGTATAATGGTTCTCCGCGCATTTCGCAATTTGACAAAAGTTGTATAACGGTTCTCTGAGCATTTTGCAATTTGACAAGTGTTGTGTAACGGTTCTCGGTGCATTTTACAATTTGACAAAAGTTGTGTAACGGTTCTCGGTGCATTTTAAAATTTGACAAAAGTTGTGTAACGGTTCTCTGAGCATTGTGCAATTTGACAAAAGTTGTATAACGGTTCTCGGTGCATTTTTCAATTTGACAAAATTATCTAAGAGTTCTCCGAGCATTTCACAATTTGACAAAAGTTGTATAACGGTTCTCGGTGCATTTTACAATTTGACAAAAGTTGTGTAACGGTTCTCGGTGCATTTTTCAATTTGACAAAAGTTGTATAACGGTTCTCCGAGCATTTTGCAATTTGACAAAAGTTGTATAACGGTTCTCCGAGCATTTTGCAATTTGACAAAAGTTGTATAACGGTTCTCTGAGCATTTTGCAATTTGACAAAATTATCTAAGAGTTCTCCGAGCATTTCACAATTTGACAAAAGTTGTATAATGGTTCTCTGAGCATTTTGCAATTTGCCAAAAGTTGTATAACGGTTCTCGGTGCATTTTGCAATTTGACAAAAGTTGTGTAACGGTTCTCCGAGCATTTTGCAATTTGCCAAAAGTTGTATAACAGTTCTCGGTGCATTTTACAATTTGACAAAAGTTGTGTAACGGTTCTCTGAGCATTTTGCAATTTTAAAAAATTATCTAAGACTTCTCCGAGCATTTCACAATTTGACAAAAGTTGTGTAACGGTTCTCCGAGCATTGTGCAATTTGACAAAAGTTGTGTAACGGTTCTTGGTGCTTTTCGCAATTTGCCAAAAGTTGTATAACGCTTCTTCTTCCAGTTTTAAATAAAGCACCTTATCGACCCACGGTTTTTTCCTGTGTGCGTGCATGTGTGCATAAATGGCTGGGTTTGTGTCTGTGCCTGTGTGTGTAGTAGATACAAAGGTCCTTGAAATGGAGCAGCTGTAACAACTCATCGTCGTGATTTCTTGTAGCAGCCTACTATGGGATGGAGGCTAAAACATTCAAAGGACGGTTCCAAGGAGAGAAGCAACCTGGAATTAAGGAGAAAGTCCCTAACAGGGAGGACAATTAGCCAGTGGAACAGCTTGCAACCAGAGGTTGTGGGTGCTCCATCCCTGGAGGTTTACAGGAAGAGATTGGACAGCCACCTGACCAGGATGTTATAGGATCTCAGGCGGTTGGACTAGAAGAGAGTGAGAGAGATGGGGAGAGATACAGAGAGAGAGAGAGAGAAAGATGGAGAGAGATGGATAGATGGAGAGAGATGCAGAGAGAGATGGCGAGAGAGAGAAAATGCAGAGAGAGAGAGAAAGATGGAGAGATGCAGAGAGAGAGAAAGATGGAGAGATGGAGAGAGATGGATGGAGAGAGATGCAGACAGAAAAAAATGCAGAGAGAGAGAGAAAGATGGAGAGAGAGATGGATGGAGAGAGATGGATAGATGCAGAGAGATGCAGAGAGAGAAAAATGCAGAGAGAAAGAAAGATGGAGAGAGATGGAGAGAGAGAGATGGAGAGAAAGATGCAGAGAGATGGAGAGAGAAAAATGCAGAGAGAGAAAGATGGAGAGAGAGATGCAGAGAGAAATGGAGAGAGAGATGGAAAGATGAGAGGAGAAAGATAGATGCAGAGAGGGAGAGAAAGATGGAGAGAGATGCAAAGAGAGATGGAGAGAGAGAAGGAGAAAGAAATGCAGAGACAGAGAGAGTGAGAAAGAAAGATGGAAAGAGATGCAGAGAGATGGAGAGATGGAGAGGAGAAAGATGCAGAGAGAGAGAAGGAGAAAGATGG